TTGTTTGATAAAATCGATAATGAATTTGTTGAAAAACATTTATACCAAGTTTTAAATGCTGTAAATAATGAACGATTTTCACCACTAGCAGCAACATTTGCAGCACCTATATATAGCGAAATAAATATATATATATTGATCAATAAAAAAAAAACAATGAATTTAATACATACCAAAATAAATGATTCTACCTAATGGTTTAAGTAAATTATAACCACGTACACTATCTTCTCCATTTAATGGATCCATAATTATATCAATACCTTTAGAAGAAGAAAAGCAAAATGATAAGAAAAAAAATGATGTTTTGTTTTTGGTTATTTACCATTAGGTGAAATTTTACGAATTTCAGCTACATAATCTTGTGTATGATAATCAATTGGATATGTGCATCCTGCTTCTTTGATAATATTATGTTTTGATCCTGAAGCTGTTCCAAAAACTGTTACATTTTCAACTGTTTTACATAATTGAATAGCTGCAATACCAACTCCACCTACAATTAAAATCCAAGGTTAGAAAACAAAAATGTATTATTTTGTTTTTCTTTACCTGCTGCCATATGTATAAGTACACTTTTATTTGGTCGTAAATTTCCAAATTCAAATAAAATATGATAGGCAGTTATATAATTAACAAGTAAAGCAGCTCCATCTTCGAATGACATGTTATCAGGCATTTTGAAACAACGATCATTTGAAAGAGTTACAAGATCGGCCCACATACCATCACCAGCAAATGCAACAACACGATCACCAACAGCCAACTGAGAAACATTTGAGCCGATTGCTTCTACAATACCTGATGCTTCAAAACCAGGAACATATGGAAATTTAGGCACTGGTGAATAGAGACCTTGTCTAATATTATAGAAGAAATTATTATAATGGAGAACTATTTTCGATAAAATCGAAATTGAATATTTAAAAAGAAGAGAGCTTCTCACCGTCTCATTAAATCAGCAAAATTGAGTCCAGCAAATTTCACACGCATGACTACTTCATCAGAATTTGGTTCTCGATATGGAGTTTTTTTAATTCGAAGTTTATCATATCCACCTGCACCGACTAATTCCACAGCAGAAATTAAACGAGGTTTTTCACTTGCTTCACTTGATGCCATTTAGTTGATGAAATCGATCAATCTAAAATCAATAGAGAAAAGAATAATCATTACTTATTGACATTCTAATGAGCTCTCTCTCTCCTTTTTCATAAGATCTAACTGATATTCCAAAGATGCATAACGAAAAAGCAAAATCCAAATAATGTCGAACTCTTTACTGTAAACATAATCTTTGTATTGTAGATAAAAGATATACATCGTATGTAAAACTAAGTAAATATGATGATGAAAAAAAAGAATTTATATTCACTTTATTCCTTTAAAAATTTAGTTAGTCATATCAACAAAGATAAGAAATAAATGTGTTTCTTTTGTTTTGTTGTAAATAAAGAGTTGAAAGTAAGTTGCACATAAAAAAATATCAAAGAAAAGATATGAAAAATGTCTGTTTATTTGTTATTCATATCAATATAATCAAGATCTAATTTAAAATAAACATATGGATAATATTCTTATTGTAGCGGGCATCAGCCGAGAATATCAATTGGCTAGGAAAGAAACATAATTCAATGAGAGAATATTTTTAATATCCACTCTTGAATTTAATGGTGGTGGGAATTTTTGAATAACTTACAATGAAAAAGAGACAATTAACTTGGGTTTTTAGCAGCTTTTAGAGTTAACATCGCTTTATCCTTTTATAAAACCGATGAGAAATTTCAGCCGCAGTTCTTCTCGGATATATCATGAGCTTTGAAGATGACATTAAATCGCTTTGAAAACAATATGCTTCCTCAACTATAAAATAATTCATAGATAGTCTAACTTCATCCCAATAGATCCATGCAAGACTAAGATTGATAACTATTTATGTTCCAAAAATATGGAAATTTTACCGAAAACTACGCACCAGATTTTTTATGCCATTAAAATATTTGCATTCAAACACAAAATTTCTGCCATTTTCGATAGGGTTCCATGAGTTTCAAGGGAACATTTTAATGCTAGTGAAATGCCATCATTGTGTCACATACTCGATCTTGAATTAAATGGAACAAAACCCCTAATTTTGGACCATAGATGCCAACAGACCGCTTTTTTTCTGTTCAGGTCTGACAGGTGCTTGCCAGACAACAGATCAGGCTGGTAGCTCTGTTTCGAACATTATCAACTATGTAGGATGCATTTTAAAAGTCATATATTAACGCATTCCATACGTCAACAAATAATCACGTTATGATAGTCAATTGATCAAAACTCCGCAATGTTCACATTTGTAACTGTGTGCAACATATATCAATGAACGTTATACTCAAATGCACACATAACAAATTTACTCGTTGGTATTGCTCGATTCTTAGGACATGGGACGTGGGTGTGAGTGAAGAAGAGACACAGACACAGACACTCACACTCTTCCATAATATTACTTGCAAGTTCATATCTTTATTTTGACCGGATATTTGTTTTAGTTATTTGCCACCTAACTAGAATGAGAAACGTCAAGGAAGTCTCTTTTCCTACAGAAAGTCTGGATGCCTATAGATTCATGCTATACATAGTGGGTAGCGCCGGATAAATTGCCATCTTAGTATTTTTGAAATTGCTCATGTTTTATCCCTTTGCTTGAAGCACTTTTTCATCAAAAGATAGGATTTGAAATTCTGCATAAAATGTTATATTTCATTTGACGAATATAGTCTCCTCCATTTTTAGGATCCCACGTAATTGTACAGTAAAATCAAGTATAGAATGTCAAATTTTTTCTTTCTCAACGTTTTGGTAGAATGTTTTATTACATGTATCAATATTGTCTTTATTGCTATGTAGTCACAATTCATACCTTCAGCTAGTTCATTCCATAAACAATAACCTAATAGACATAAATTAGGCGCATTTAGTTGCCAAAGGGTCTTCAAAATAAGTGCAGGAAGTGATCAGCACACTATTTTTGACTCAGGTGGTGTGTATGAGGTCTAATACCATCCTGCTGGTATGTCTAGGTGTTTTATAACATTTTATTGTCAAGTTGTAGGGCTATTGAAGAACCTCATTGATTTATCTTTCTACATCCATTGTCCCATCCTCCAAAATCATCGGTACTGTCACCCCTTGTCCATGTACATCTAACCACATCATCATCTTTACGGAAATTTTCTTTTTTCATAAGCAGCACATTTCTTGTCAGTCTATTCCTTGTTCACACTCAACACCTGATCGTTCTGAATATTGTATATCCCATCTAAATTAGAAAATTTTTCATCGGTAAAAAGTCACCATTTGTGATATCATTTTTGGTGTAATTGTTTAACATCCAATTCGCAAAGTTAACCTTCTTCTCTGTTTAGAGATTAGTCAGTTTTAGTTGCTAAGTTTTCATGTATGGGAAACGATCAAGATCTTCACATAATATTCGCAGTATGCTTCTTCTCGAAATATGCATTTCAATCGCTAATCTTCTTGTTGACACCCGTTTCTTGTGATCTAGGAGATATGTAACCTTCGAGATACTGGCTTTCGTCTTAACTGTGCATGGACGATCGGGAGGAGACGATAATTTGATAGAACCAGTGTTGTTGATCATTTGAATTGATAAGTTAATTGTTCGTAATGACATCACTACAATCACACCCATGATGAATTTTCAAAGGTCTATTATTATTTTCAATATTTACTTTCTACAACTGTTTGCATGTCTTTACTTTTTATATCTTCTCAAATATATATAAAATAAGCTGCGGATCCAATCATACATATTCGTGTAGAGAATTTTAAGCGCCATCTTTTGATTAAAATAAAACGTTTCAATCAAAGGGATAATAGAAAAAAAATTTAAAAACACTAAGATGGCAATTTATTCTGCCTCCTCCTCCTTCCGATTCCATTACTTCGTTGTGGTACTCAAGCTCATCAACACAGTTTGACACTTGAGCTCAAGCACAAAAATGAAGGTGCACTTGGCAGATCATCATTTTGATGGATGTGCATAAGTTGTATTAAAGTTCATTGCTCACTTGTTGAAATATTCTAATTTCAACAGGCAAGAAAGCTACCCTTTGAAATTCCAATAAGTTATGGGTTATTTTTGATCATTAAAAAATGGATACAATCATTTCTTCCGAAATCTTTAGAAAAACATGAATGAAGAATGTTGAATGTTCTCAGCAAGATATTCTACGATAGAATTTTAAGACTATCAGTTTAATTTAAAATGTAAACAGTTGCTCAATAATGACGCCACACAAGACATGACCTTTGATGAAACGAAGTAAAAAATTCTTAGGATAGCCAGATAGTTTATTGTCGCATTATTTTAATGTCGACACATAGAATATATCTCATTAAGAACACCCCTTACATTGCTCGAAGGCAATATGTACTGATATACATTTATGCGAAGCAAAATGATCGCAACTTGTGCTGACAGACAGTTATAAAGATTGTAGTATGAAAGAGAAAAAAAATACTGTAGAACGAACGAAGCATGTGACTGTTATGCAGCGTTTACGGGCATGGTTATGTTTGCTTCTTTCTGTTTTACTCTTACATCGTTATGAAACACAGCCTTTATTGTAATTGCACAAGACATATAAAAAAGCCTTTTTTCATATGTTATTCACTTTTTATAGTTATATTTCATGGCGACAGCGTCAGTATCAAAGTGTTCGGAGGCCAAATCTGACCCATTCATTCCCGTATCTCAACTCTATCTAAATGATTTCATCAACAATTGGCTTTCTATTGATATGGCTAATGAAGAGAAATTGTCTCTTCTTTGTTCATCGCGTCAAATGCATCCAATCGAACAGTTTCCGTGTCTAATATATTTAGTCGAATGTCATCCCTACAAACGCATTCGAGTATGGTTAAAGGAGAGAGAGGTACAAGTAGAGAAATGTTCCGACTATATGTACGATCGATTTCAACTAGATCGTATGCAACCATGTTGGGTATGCAAGTGGCTCGAATGGGATGAAGACTGGCTCATCAGTGTGGAAAATGTCGACACAACGCCAATCGTAAAACCGGATTTTTATCGATTGATCGGCGATCGGCATGTAGAGTATGGCGATGGTGGCAGTTCATTTCTTGTTTATCCTGTATGGATTCAAGAGCATCTGCCAGTAAGTGAAAAATTTCGAGAACATCTTCTGGAAACCCTCCAAGCGCTCAATGAACAACGACATGATTACCATGCAGCTCCCTCACCAGTAGAAGATATTATTGATCCAGATCTACTTGCTTTTCGTCCTCCATCATTCGATCGAACGAAATGGATCGAACATCGGCGACGACAATTAGAACCTTTTGAAAGAGCATCGAGATATTTCAAGCGTGATTTAGCCGATGGAGAATATGATCAGTTATCAGAGCATGAACAACTGCGAGATACTTATCAATGGTTACCATCCGAATTCATTATTCAAACCGATGGTAGAGTAGACATTCGAAAACCGATTCTTCATTTACCAGTGATACCCAAATATCGTCGAACGTACGGTGCAATCGCACAGATTTTTCATGCCATGTTGCCAATGTTTCAACAAATAAAAGCGGTCGCAAAGGATACAACCAGAGAGCAACGCTTGCAAGTGATTGTCAAAGCACAAAGTTATAATATGAAAGCTGGTAAGACAAGTGTTGCATATGAGTCGATAGCTCTCGAGAGGGAAATTCTTTTGGAACTTGGTTTTCGTGAAAAAAGCTTTACTTACGTCAAATTTATTTGTCCTAGATAACGTTTTGAATAATATTTTTTCTAGTATTATTATCACAGAACAGGGATCTTTGACACTGTTTTAAGGTTCTTAGGAGGACTTCGAGTTCTTTTCTGACCCAGATATTCTAATGAAAGAGTCCATTCTCATTTCCAATAAGCAATGGTCTTATTACACTAGAGCAAAAGATTATTATTTCTAAGTGATATATGTTTGTTGTTGTTGTTGTTCTCTGATAGGTATGAAATATTCGGGTCATTGGCATACAGAAGGTCAAACAGAAAATATTGTAGCAGTGGGTGTATACTATTTACATGTTGATCCTGTACTTGAAGGAGGTGCCCTTAAATTTCGTCCAAAAAAAGCACCTCAAGATTGGTATGAGGGAATCAAAACTGACTTTGAAGTGGCTTCGATTTGCACTGGTACAGCTATAGTGTTTTCGAATTCGATGCCACATCGTTTTCGACAAATTCGCAATTTGACTTCAGATGATGGTCGTCGTCGAACATTTCTGAATTTTTTCATCGTTGATCCCGATCAACCAATAAATCTTCAGTTGAGTGAAATCGTTCTGACACCGATGGATATGATCGTGAGTATATTACGACAATGGAATCAAGGACAAATACCCGATTTAGTCTTGGATAAAATTGTGCGAATCTTACAAGTATCATCGCCATGGCAAACGCAAGACGAATCTAAAATATTTCGGGCACGTGTGCGAAAAGCAATGCTGGAGGAAAAAACTGGATGGGGATGGATCTGTTGGGGTAATTGTGGAACAACGGAGTTTGTTCGAGCACTGTGTGCTTGGAGTGTCCGAGAGAGACAGGAAGCAAGAGGAGAACTACGTCATACTGAATCGGATTCATAAATACGCTAATGAAAAATATTATTTTTTCGAATAAAGCAAGCAGCCAACACAGGATCGTGCAAATGTATTTTGATAATGATAAGCAGATTTGACATCTGAAAGAAAGTATGGAGACAATAAATTTCTACTTGACAGCATTCGAAGGAAATATCTCCAGTATTTTAGAATTTTCTATATTCAATGATCGCGAAATATCTTGTATAGTTATTCTCAAAAAGGTCCTATCAGTTTATGAAGGTAGGTCATGGGTAGAGCCCATCGGGTCCGGGTCGAGTCCGGGTGTGAAATTTTTTGCCCATTGGGACCAAATCAAAAAACCTTTTGATGCATATAATAAAATTTTACGAATTTCTTTAAATTTTCGATCGTTTAATTCAAAAAAGCTTAATTTGTTTATAAAAAAATATGAGATTTTTTGGCTCATAAAATGTGATTGACTTGTCATAAAAATGATCTATCAGGTTCGAGTCTGAAAATCTTGATTGACCGGGTCCGGACTCGGGTCCAGAAAAATTAAATTCACCGGGTCCAGAAATTTTTGGACTTGATGGGCTCTAGTCATGGGCATCTCTGTATAGTTGTGAATGATAGTTGGGTGTTAGCATGAGACTCATGAGTGACAATAGATTTTTCCGGTGGTCCAGTAGAACTCACAAATTTGTCTTAATGAAAAGTATTTTAGTAGGCGGTGTCGGTGTTGATGTTTGCATGGGTACCAATGCAGATATGGGTGAGTGGTTATAAGCGTGAATGGATGAGCATGTGGACTTTACTGGATTTGAGGTCGACGCATGAATATGATTTATACCGTGTCGTCCTCATCTTCATTCATTGTCTGTTGCGATTAAATCTTCATCGATGAAAGGTCAGAAAAGTTGCAACTTGATATGCAGCCCACCACTGATATTTCTCATATTCATCATAAGGCATGCATTGGTTTAGTCGAGGGATTATTCGATGAAACGATCGTATTGTATTAGTAATAGATTAGGGATTGAGTGCGCACAAAAGCATGGCAGCAAGCGATACTGATATTAAAGCTCGCCGTCTTTAGATATTCAAAAGAAACTCAAAAGGAATCCTTGACAAAGTGACGCATGACTCTAACGAAGACGATGGAGACCACAAATCAAAAAACATATGATTTTCAATACGTTGGCTTTGTGGAATATTTGAAACATCATGAAGCAATGCATTCCGACTTCGTTCATAAACAATCGAACGTTTTCGTGGATTTTAACCTTCCAACTCTGTCTGAGATTGATCTGACGGAAAAACCTTAGCAATGTGCTGATTTGGATTTTGCGTAATGATTCTGTTCCTAGATTAATTAAAAGTGAGTCCACGATTTCGTAAAATTTTCAAATGAACTTAGATATTGTTGAGCATTTTCTTCACTATTGCTGGACATGTTAAAGGAATCTGAGTCTTGATATAAGAATAGTTTCTTAGAGAAATAAGAGGTGTGCTCATATTCTGGAAATCTCCCCCAATTCATAGTTCATTTTCACAGGATGCGTTGTTGATATCCAAGGAATCTTTACTTGATATCCACGGATTGATAGAAGATCTCTAAGCAATCCTTATCAGGGATCTCGAAAATCTTTAGAGACCTTCAGAAGATTCTGTAGGAGAATCATATAGGATTTCCGTGTACTGATTAGGAGACATCCGAGGGTTTTTAGGAGATCCTTGGGGGATCTATACCCAGTCCTCTGAGGAGCTTCCGACGATTTCCTGATGAATCACTGAAGACTCCATAGAGATTCTCTGCGGATCCTAATTGACATAGCATCTAGATTACCTCACGATTGCTGGAAGAACTTCTGAGGACCTTCTAGAGACTCCTCAGGATCCCATGGAGAACAGGTATAAATGGCCTGGAAAATCTCCCATATTCGCTGAGGAATCCATGGGAACCTTCTGAAAATCTTCCGAGGATCCCTACAGATTGTCATAGGACCTGCGGTAGATACATTGAAGATGCGTTCTGTAATAGTTAAAACTAGATGTTTAAAACTCGTAACAATTCTTTGAGTTTTCCATGTAGACGTGAGTGAATGAAAGAATTCGTGCAAAAGCTTAGAAGACTTTTAAAAACCTTTTGAAGAATTGTATTCAATATGATCTTATGTCCAAGTCATGAAACCACGTGCCTTGTAGATATTATTTTCACATGAAAATTAGAAATTCATTAAATTGGGATTTTTAATATCAGTGTAGGTATTGCACTTAGCTTTTCGTTTGACAAAACATTTTTAGTTAGATACAAATCCATGAGAAAAATTGTTCTCAATTCAATTTATCGGTGGAAAAAACACAGAAATATATTTTTTAAATCAAACTGAAGTCAGCACACGATAGTAAAATTTTCGTAACAAAAATCAATATCAAAACGTCACTATTACTTTTTTGCGAATTTTTCTTGAAATACGTAATTTATATTCAAGCAAAATTCAAATGCGGGTTAATAATTCAGAAAGACTTTAAGATCTCGAAGGTCGACATTATATTAAATAATATGGGACAATCCAATGCGGTAAGCTGATTTGTTTATAACTTGAATATCTAGAGATCAATACTCTATGTGTTTATTTATCTTCTGCTTTGTTTAGAAAATTTTGCAAAGATCTGGTCAAAAACTCAGAGAAAACTCTTATAGAATTGTAGAGAAATCTGGTGATGTGCAACCAGAAAACATTTCTTCAATTAGAAATTATAGAAATTTTGATAAGATTCTGACCTAACACCAACGGAAAAAGCCACAAGATCCTTCTAAGATCTTGTTCTAATCCTAGGAAAACCTTTAGTATTTCGTGGCTACATGTTTCTCTCAAAACTTACAATTTCTTGAACCTATTACTGGTTTCAAATCGATTAGTAAAGTGCTCAGAATTCCGATGAAATTCTGTTTTGAATCTTGAAAAGATCTTCAAATTTCATGGCTACCCGCTTTTTTGAGGATTTAACAGTTTCTTGGATGATTCCTGATTGAAAAATAGTGACAAATCGTCCACGATCTTGATTGAATCATCATCATTTACAACCAATAGTATATAAGACAGAATTAAGCTAAATATAGAAATTTTTTAAAAATATTTTCTCTGAACTTGATCATATTCAAATATTTCTGCATATTGTACGTTTAACCGTTGGCCTGTTTCTATTATTGTATTCGTTCTTATTATTCTTTTTCTTGCTTTTATTTATATTGAATCGTCCTATTTCTTTTAATTGTAACTATTTATGACGAAAAAAAAAATGTATATTTAAATGCATGTATGAGTTTAATGTCTTCTTTTTTTGGATTGCTTTTACCGCATGTAAGTTATTTCATTCAATCGCTTAACAACCTGAACAAATGACAATGCTGGTAATAATCATATTCACCAGCACCAAGTTAAGACCATGCTGTATTAAAATAGGTATTTTGTATTGGAAAGTTATAGAAAGTTTCCCTTTTATTAAGTAACAACTGCGCTTCTTGTGCTAAGATGTATCTTGGTCGACAAACGAGATAAATGTTAAGAGTATAAAACCAACGTTAAGTCGGATTAACATTACATTGTAACATAAGACAAGCCATAAGAAACATATGTTCAACATCTGTATCAAAATTTCGTGTCGAACGACAAATACTTGCATAGGTTATTTTAAATCCATTGATTGTCATTCGACCACCGATTGAAGCTGTTTGTTAATTAGAAGCAAATTAAAATTGTTGAACATGAGCTACTGAAAGTGCAGTCATTTGAGAATAAGAGTTTGTATTCCAAATATTCTATCATGAAAAATCTTGTTGATTACTCATATTCCAAAAATTGATTACAGTCGAAGAATGATATATGTATATGAACGAAAAGGTTACAAAAATTGGAAACCAAAATACTTGGCTCTTTTGTTTAATATGCAGTGTTTCGCTTGATTGAAGTTGCATTGACACCACAATACGACGAACATGTATTATTTCTTTTCGTAGAATCTGAAAATATAATGATAATGAATGACTAAAAATAGTGCACGTTTATTTTCTCAATGATTGTTTTTTTATAGTCATAATTTAATTTAAAAAAAAAGTTTGACCTTAACTAAGGAAATAATAAGAATTAGAATCAAGACAATAAGTGTTTTTTTTCAAATAATAACACAAGAAAAGAATTATTCATTTTTTTCTTGTGCTTATTCAGTAGTTGTATCATTATTCTTGGTAGCATTAGCTTCATCATCAGGTTGTAATAAAATTTTTCCTATATTTTGTCGATTATGCATACGCTGCATAGCTTCACCAACTTTTGACAATGGATAAATAGAATCTATTTGTGGTTTAATTGCACCTTCATTATATAATCGAAATAATTCATCTATTGTTTCCAATGCTATCTCTTTTCCACTATCAAAATATTTTAATAAATAACCAAGATGATAACCAGCAATACTTTTATTGTCTGATAAAATCGATAATGAATTTGTTGAAAAACATTTATACCAAGTTTTAAATGCTGTAAATAATGAACGATTTTCACCACTAGCAGCAACATTTGCAGCACCTATATATAGCGAAACAAATATATACATATTGATCAATAAAAAAAAAACAATGAATTCAATACATACCAAAATAAATGATTCTACCTAATGGTTTAAGTAAATTATAACCACGTACACTATCTTCTCCATTTAATGGATCCATAATTATATCAATACCTTTAGAAGAAGAAAAGCAAAATGATAAGAAAAAAAATGATGTTTTGTTTTTGGTTATTTACCATTAGGTGAAATTTTACGAATTTCAGCTACATAATCTTCGGTATGATAATCAATTGGATGTGTGCATCCTGCTTCCTTGATAATATTATGTTTTGATCCTGAAGCTGTTCCAAAAACTGTTACATTTTTAACTGTTTTACATAATTGAATAGCTGCAATACCAACTCCACCTACAATTAAAATCCAAGGTTAGAAAACAAAAATGTATTATTTTGTTTTTCTTTACCTGCTGC